GCTCGTGGGGTAGCTGTTAAATCCAGGCCTTGCAGCCTAGAGAGCTGCTGGGAACAGGACAGCCCTAGTCAGAATTTGTACCCCAGGCTGGAAAACTGGGAATTCCAGTTTGGATGGTCTCGATCTCTTGACCTCATGATCCACCCGCCTCACCCTCCCAAAGTGTTGGGATTACAGGTGTCAGCCACCGCGCCCGGCCAGAGTCATTCTCAGTGTAACCAAGAGCTATGGCATTTTATTCATAATAAAGACGTTCTAAAGTTATGTGAACTACATGAGCTCCTCCAACCCCAAGTCAAAATCGTAGAATCCATGCTAAGCTTTTACTCACATCTCTTCATTCTGCTACTGATGGTCACATAATGAAGTGACAAAGTAAACTGTTATTTACACAGTATAGAATATTAGCAGTCACACCTGCCACAGACAGCTCACCACCATTATACATTATACATCTCCAATGAGTCCTGCCCTTGGGTCTTAGATCTAAACAAGACCAAGACAGGAACCAGCTTAGCCCTCTGCCTAGGCAGCCGTGAGCGGGTGGTGAGCGTGTGAACACTGGACTCGAATTGGAAAGACCTCAGAGGCCATTTAAAACGACACACTGCATGGCTGACACGTGTGTGACAAGAACAGAGCTAAGAACTTCAACGCCCTTACCCTTTTTATTCCTCAGACAATGCTGTGAGGTAGGTGCTATTGTTATATAATAACTGTTACCCTTATTCCTCTTTAGAAAATGTGGAAACTGAGGCACAGAGAAGTTATGCCACTTGCTCAGTATCTCAGAGTCAGCACACGGACGACATAGGATGCCCCCACAGCTGTGCTCTTGCAGTTGGTGTCCAGCAGCCTCTGAACAAGTGAGGAAGGTTCATCCAATAGTGCAAAACTGGGCTGTAGGTGCCCACAAGGAGGAGCCAGAAGTGCTCATGGTCTTCAAGGCCCCTATCTCTCCATCTCCCATCTGCTTGCCTGTTACCAGCAATAAATATGGGCATGTCTAAGCATCATTTGTCCCCTGGAATATCCTGGAATACAAAACCTGTAGTATACAACCAGATTCTGTTGCTATCTTATTTTCTTCCAGGCCAATTCCCTTGCACCCCACTTTCTTAACACAGTTAAGTTAATTCCTATGTTAAATAATTAACTCATCCATCAGGGGAGTACATGCCTTCTAAGAGTGAATGTCCATATTATCGGTGGAAATCCTCTTTTTGTCCTGGCCCTGAGTGACCTGGACAAGTAGACCTTTCTACCCTGAGGTCCAGCTCCTCAGGGTACAAAGTGCAGCATCGACATCTCTATGAAAATGACCAGGATAATAGAAACAAAAGGGTAAGAAAAACAAGTAAAGAAACAAATAAGGCAAAGAAAAGGGGAGACTACATGGCCCAAATACATTGAGTTTATCGTGAAAACGTATTTTTGGAGATAGAGAGAAGATAAAGCACAAGGTAAAGAGACTAACCTGTTTGTTTCCAGGTTTTCAAATGGAATCTTGCCCTGATCTGGGTCTCAATTAACAAAGCACAAGGACAGCTGAGCCTGTAGCAGGTGTCGCTGAGGATACAGGTCCCAGAGTGATGCCCAGTGGCAACAGGTGGGTCTGCAACTGCAGGTGCCCCTCACCTGGTGACCTTGAGGAAGATGGAGCAGCGTATTGGGCACAGTGCTGGGTTTCGGGGTACAGGAAATCACATCAGAGCAGCCCAGAGGAGGACTGTGTCTGCTCACGGAAAACATACCTCGCAGATCCTATTAGAGCAGAATAAAGAGATCATAACTGGCCACCTGTCGGCCATTTAAGATCTGGTTCTTCCTTTCATGTTTTCTGTCATTTCTATCACACAGTCCCCTCTCCCTGCACACAGGCACTCAGACTCAGAGACATGCACATGCACACGTACAACACATACATCCCTAGTTTCCACCTCCCAACACACTCCCCTCACTACACGTGCATACATACATGTAAACATACAAGCATACGCACAAGTGCACACACACCCTGAAGTGCAGACTCCAAACTCTAATACATCTGGTTTAGCCTCTGAGGCCGAAGCTGCTCAGACTGACATGCACAGGCCGTAAAACCAAATTTTTGCACCCAAGACCTCTTGGAGAGAGTCTATGGCCCCCAATTTAGAGTCAAAAGACAGAGGCCATGATAGGTGAAGTCATGCACTAATGATCCCACAGTTAGTTGATGACACCACTGAGACCACAGCTCCCAACAGACAGCACATTGGCCTGCTGTCTTATGTGAAGCCCGTAATGCAGTTTTCATTCCTGCAAAGGGGACACCTACATCTGGGTCCTTTGTCCCAGGTAGCTCCAAGGCTAGGCCCTGGTGCACTTTCTCCAAGAGGCTCCAGAGAAGGACAAGGGTCCTCAGGGCGGTGAGCCTCCTATAGGTCAATGTCTCTCAAGGGACCGAAGGAGTTTGAGGACCAAGGGGATTGAAAAGACCCCAGCTCTGTGCTATCTGGAGGAAGCAGCATCCCAGGGCAATGAGCTACCCCAAACCTGTGTGGCTGTGGGATAGCGGCATCCTTTGGGTTGATAGTTCAGACCTTTGACGGTTCTCCAATCCAGGGCTGCACTGAAGCACCTGCTCTTCATGTTCATGAAGGCCCCTATCACTCTTCCTGTCTCCCATCTGCTTGACTGTTACCAGTAATAAACACACTTCTAAGCATTATTTGTTCCCTGGAATATCCTGGAATACAAAACCTCTATTATAAAACCAGATTCTGTTGCTAGCTTAAGTGTTTTCTTTCAGGCTAATTTCTTTGCCCCCTACTTTTTAGCACAGTTAAATTAATTTTTATGTTAAATAATTAAATCATCGATCAGGGAGTACACACCTTCTAAGAATGAATGTCCATATTATGGATGCAAATCCTGTTTTTATCCCAGCCCCGCGTATAGGAGAGGCAAGATTAGAGTCAGAATAAAGGAGAAGAAAAACAGTTTTTCAGGTTTTGTTTTAAATGACAGCAGGTTTGAAGTCAAGAGGACAATAGATAATGGGCATCTTGCTACAGTTAAAGAAACGAAGGAACGGCAAAGGCATTTTATCTAAATAATTATTTACAAACACATTAGGAAACTAAAAATTTTTTCCATAATGTCAGTGGAGTTTTCTCATCTTCCTTTCTTTCTTTCTTTCTTGCTTGCTCTCTCTCTTTCTTTCTTTCTTTCTTCCTTCCTTCCTTCCTTCCTTCCTTTCTTTCTTTCTTTCTTTTCTTTTTTCTTTTCTCTTCTCTTCTCCCTTCCTTCCTTCCTTCCTTCCTTCCTTTCTTTCTTTCTTTCTTTCTTTCTTTCTTTCTTTCATTTCTTTCTTTCTCTCTCTCCCTTCCTTCCTTCCTTCCTTCCTTCCTTCCTTACTACTTTCCTTCCTTCCTTTCTTTTTGACAGAGTCGTGCTCTGTTGCCCAGGCTGGAGTGCTGTAGTGCAATCTCAGCTCACTGCAACCTCTGCCTTCCAGGTTCAAGTGATTCTCGTGTCTCAGCCTCCAGAGTAGCTGGGACTATAGGCACCCGCTGCCACATCCAGCTAAATTTGGTATTTTTAGTAGAGACGGAGTTTTATCATGTTGGCAAGGCTATTCTCAACCTCCTATCTTCAAATCATCTGCCCACCTTAGCCTCCCAAAGTGTTGGGATTACAGGCATGAGCCACTGCGCCCAGCCCAGAGGAGTTCTCTAGAAATACTTCTGCCAGAAATAATAAGAAACTTGATTGGCAACAGAGTTGTGTCCAAGGCTGAGCAATGAGCTGCCGACGGGGGCCTGGTCCTGGGAAGATGGGCCACTGGGCATCTTCTGGCTTGGCCAGTGCTCAGCTCTGCTGTCTGAGCATACCACAGGGCCTGGACAGTGGTTTTTAAACCACCCATTTCTCTTTCCAGATTTTCTGCTCACCCAATTAACTTCGGGGTCAGAGAAGGATGAAGAGAGACTGAAGATATCAATTTCTACAATTAATAAGGACTCTGGGTGATCAAACACATGACAGAATTCATGGAGAAAGGTTAGAACCAGAATAAAAATGTTCCAAATTGTTTCTTCAGTCATTTCTAGAGATTCAGAGAGACAATGCCAGAGAGATGCAGGCTAGGAAGCAATCACGGAATGCTATCTGCAAACTCAGAAATGTCCAGTGAGAAACAGAGCAGCAGTACAAATACAGATGGTTTAAAACCTGGTGCAAAATGGCCGCCAGGGTAAAACAAGGGCCATGAAAGCTGGAATCACCAATACAGGAAATTAGTCCCTCCCAGTCTCCCTGTTAATTCATGAATTCAGATTGATATTATAGATATTACAGATCTGATTGAGATCCTCTCATTTTTATGAGGTAGAATAAGTGGGAAATACCCTCTATTACTTTCTCTGCAAAGAAAGAAAAAATGGATTAACTCTGTGCTCCACTGGGACCCAGGTCTGATCCCAGAGAGTCATCCAGAGAGTACCAGGGACCATCTTCGGAAAACAAGAGGCATTTGATCCCCAGATTTATTGAATGAAAGCACTGTTGTTTTTCTTGTCTGAATATATAAAAGTAAACACTCAAGCAGATGGGAAACAGGACAGGATAGTAATGTCTTTATCATCATTAACAGCTTGGATCATGAAGAGGCATTAAGCACACAGACTCACTCTGTGATGAAAGCCAGGAGAAAGAGGAGCATCAAAGGGATCTTGAGGGCGAAGGCAGCCCTTCCCCTCCCAATCACATACCCACCTCCTCTCACTGCAGCTTCTGTCTCAGGCCTTCTCCCAGCAGAGCTATAAATCCAGGCTCACTCCTCACTCTCCACACATCCACACCTGCTCTCCCTCCTCCAGGTGACCCCAGCCATGAGGACGCTCGCCATCCTTGCTGCCATTCTCCTGTTCGCCCTGCAGGCCCAGGCTGAGTCACTCCAGGAAAGAGCTGATGAGGCTGCAACCCAGGAGCAGCCTGGGGAAGACGACCAGGACCTTGCCGTTTCCTTTGAAGAAAATGGACTCTCTACTCTTAGAGCCTCAGGTAGGAGACATCAATCTTGCAGATCTGCAAAATCTAGAACAAAAGGATTGGAGACAGGCTCTGGTATCAAGTGTGGAAAAGTCTACCTCCCTTGAGTGACTTTACTTAATCTTCCTGGACCTTGATTTTCTCATCTCTAAATTAATCAGTGAGAACCGAACACATCTAAAAGATTTTCTTTCTTCTAAGACTTTTAGTTTCAAGATATTTCTGTGAAATTTGTTACCTTTAAGATAGAAAGAGCTATACTGACTAGTTATTTGCAGGTCTGAATGGGTAGACTTAGTTTTGGAGAGAATATTTTACTTTGTCCATTGGTAAAGCTTTTAGAACCTAGAGAGGAACCTCTGGGTGTGTTTCAATGTAGGCTAATAGACTTGATTAAATCTTTCTACAATACATGCTTAGATCCAAACATCATATTGTGTCTCATACATATACACAATTATTATTTGTCAATTAACATAAGTACATAAGTAAAATGTTAAAAAAAAAAAAAAGGGGGGGGGAGAGAGAATGAAGAATTTGAATTTGGAAGGTCTTCAAAGACTCCTTGAGCACCAAAATATTTGAGTCCATGACATGAGCATGCACAATGCAGCATCTCAGAAACGGATGCAGGTGCATTAGGGAGCCTTGTTAGGACATGCAGATCATACATGGAGGTCAAGATTAGGGGTATGGATTAAGCAGAATGAAGAGTAGGTAACCCCGGGGTTGAGAGGTATATTGTTTTACCAGGGAGCAGGTAATAAACATGTCCTGGATGGACTCAGATGGGGAAAGAACTATGATCTTGCATGACTAACATATAGCTAGTACGATTTCTTGTCATTTACGACAAAGACATGAATTTTCTCCATCCTAACATGACTGATACAGTGTCTCTTGTTTAAACTATCTCAGTTAGTCTGGCTCTGCCTGTCCTTTTCCCGACCTCCCTCACTGTGCCTGATCCTCTCTTCTTTCCACAGGTTCTCAGGCGAGAATCACCTGCTATTGCCGAAACGGCAAATGTTTTCTGCGTGAATCCTTCGCCGGATGGTGCAACATCGGTGGCCACATCCTCAGACTCTGCTGTCGCTGAGCTTCCTAGATAGAAACCAAAGCATGCAAGATTCAATCCAAGGTCCTGAAGAAAGAAAAACATTTCACCCTGTATACCTTGTGTCTTTCTAAATTTTTCTCTCCAAAATAAAGTTCAAGCATTAAATTTAGTGTCTTTGATTTTTTAAATTTTCTTTTATTTTCCTTTTTTTCCCTTTTGCTTTTTTATATGGTGGATTGTACGGTTCCTTTCTATAGAGAATTCTGATCTACATTAAGTTAACTGGTCTTTGCATTCCAATGATTCCAATGATGCACAATTTGAGCATCATAGAGCAATAACAAAATAGCAAAAATGAATATAATTCGGTTTGTTGTCGTTGTTGTTTCAGACAGTGTCTCACCTAACCACCCAAGCTGGAATCCAATGGTGCAATCTCTCCTCACTGCAGCCTTAACCTCCTGTGCTCGAATGATCCTCCCACCTCAGCCTCTTGAGTAGCTGGGACTACAGGCATGTGCCACCACACCCTGCTAATGTTTTGTACTTTTTGGAGAGACAGGGTTTCACCATGTTGCCCAGATTGGTCTCGAACTCCTGAGCTTAAGTGATCTGCCCTCCTCAGCCTCCCAAAGTGCTAGGATTTCATACTTGAGCCACAATGCCTGACAGGATATAAGTGTTAATTGGAATAGTTTGAAACTTAAAAGTTCAATGCATTCCTAATGATTCTCAAACCATAGAACTTTACAATGAGAGGCAAAAAGTGGTTGTTGGCTCAAAAGAAAGATAGATCTGATGGGCAATGTTTACTTGTCCTTTAATTTTAAAAAGTGGGAAAGCATTACTATACATAATTTTTGAAATTTTAAGCAGATGTGTTAAATACATATGCTATACATTAAGCTTTATTTCACTCTATTTTGGTAAGTGATATATAACTGTATCAACAAGACAGAATAAAATAAAGTTTAACAAGGAAAAAGTTAAAACTGTGCGAAAAACAGGAAAGACTGAGGAGCATCAGTGATTCAATTAATAACCAGATAGAAGAGGAGCTCAGAAGCTGGTGACCATAGAGGATGAGGCCCAATAACCAATGAGACAAATGGTCCCTTACTGGTCCCCAAAAGGTTAATTAGACCAATGGAAGGAGTTGAACTCAACTCTCCATCCCTTCAAGCATAAGAATTCTATTAATTATAATGAAGCTATACTGATTTTAATAAAATGCTAGTGAGAAAATATATGTTAATATGTTTTCAATTATGCCAATGAACCAAGTCAATAATCGTAATGATAAGACAATTGGTCATACAGTTGTGCAAAAACTTAAGAACAACATATTTGTGAGAAAGGCAAGTTTCTAGAGTTAAAATTTATATAAAAGACAGGGACTGAACAGTGCCAGGATATGACAAAACAAAACACAAACAAACATTTTTATTACAACAACAACAAAAAGTCTCAGCCTGATAAGTAGTCTGACTTCAATTCATCTTAGGCACATACAAAGCACTGTTTCCTGATCAACGGTCAGCTACTTGACCCTAGACTTGCAACCTCGTTTAGTAATCTGGGGTCTCAGAAGATCAAGAAAATCATAGGAAGGAGTAAAATGAAAACAAATAAGAAAAGATATCAAATCCATGATATGGGCCCTTCTATATCACTTTTGGTATAATGAACAAATAAGTTTGTGATCATCGTTGAGGAATATGTTTCTCTATTCTTTAAGGTGTTAGATGTGTTTAAAAACAACCAGGCATACTAAATGTATGACATCAATGTAGATGAAGGGAATTTAAATAATCACCTTTGTGTCAATATTTAATACTCAAGAATTGGTTTAAACTTAGTGTAAATAGTGATGAGAATTTTCTCTGTGCACAAAAGTCCTTCCAATATTAAAGAACCTACCAAGCTAGTGCAGGCTGGTGCTGCCTTTCCTCATCTGATGGTCCTTAGTAAGAACTCTCTACTATACTGGGAGATAGGTGGTGGGGGCTGGTTCTCTGCCTCAGCAACCCTTCTGAGCAGGACTCTCTTCCACTCTTGCTGTCACACCTGGTCCTGGAACTGGAGGGCCAGCAAGAGAGCATGGTAGAGGAGGGAGAGCCTTGTCATGAACCACCCAAGAGGCGAGGCTCTCTGGCAGCAGGAACCAGAACGGGTAGTGGAGAGACCTCAGATGCTGAATACAAGTACATCTTTTGGGAAGATAAAGTCACTCTACAAAGTCTGTGAACTTAGGCCAGGTTGGTCTATAGGTGAAAGGGAAGGATTTTCCAGGTCTCACCTGGTTGCCTAAAAGTCACCGTGATGCTCCTCTATTTAACTGCTTTACTCACAGCCAAAATTGACTGGTTGTTTGGTCTCCGCCCTTTCTTTTTGATGTGTTCTGCTTTTTGTTTTTTGGGTGTTTTGTTTTGTTTTGTTTTGTTTTGTTTGAGATGGAGTCTTCGTCTGTCACCCAGGCTGGAGTGCAGTGGCACGATCTTGGATCACCGCAACCTCCACTTCCCAGGTTCAAGTGATTCTTCTGCCTCACCCTCCCATGTAGCTAGGATTACAGGCAAGTGCCAATGCGTCCAGTTCATTTTCATATTTTTATTAGAGATGGGGTTTCACCATATTGGCCAGGCTGGTGTCGAACTCCTAACCTTGAATGATATCCCCACTTTGGCCTCCTAAAGTGCTGGGATTACAGGCACGAGTCACTGTGCTGGGTCAATGGGTTCTGTTTTTATAAGAATCTTGAATAGTATCTCCTGTTCCTCATCAGCCTTTATGTAAACATCAGCTACAAAGTGGGGGTTTGTTAGAGGCTCCACTGCTCCATTCAGAGCAGCTACAGTATAAACAACTCTAGGTTTTCCAGGCAGATCTCTTCAACGTCCCATTTTCCCTTGAAGCTAAGACTCTTGTCTTATATTAGCACAGTGATCAGGGGATATGAATAACTTCCAAGGAGTAGGACTCCAAGGTCATGGGGAAGAATACCCTACTCTCTGCTATGAGTAAAACTTACAGTAAGAAACAAAATAAATGTTTCCTCGGGCCCAAAGCTATTACATTGAGCATCAAGTCTCTGGTCAGGAGGAGAGCAGGTTATGCAAAAACCAAGATAAACAGAAGATGTTCTTCACCCTTCCTTCAGGCAATGGGAGGCTTATTCTAACTGTTAATGGAAATTCTTGGCTCAGCATGGGCCTAAACAAAAATGTGTGATAAAAGGCACTTGACTCTCATTTCAACCATGTCCTGCATATATAAGCAGGAGAGAGATGCAAACCCTGTCTCTCCTCATCTTTGCATCCCACACATCCTCATTCTCATGTCCCAACCCCAGTCAGTCTAACTGCAGATCTTCCTGTTCTCTGCTGCAGAAAATTCAGATGACCACACAAATCAAGTATCTACCTAAACTCTATGTCTTGGTCAGGGATCTCCAGAGAAACAGAACCAAAATAATGTGTATGTATAGAGAGATTGTTTTCAAGGAAATGCCTCATGTGACTAAGGAGCTAGCAAATCAAAAATCTCCAGGATAGGCCATCAATCTGGAGGCCCAGGGAAGAGTCACACCTGCAGTTCAAGTCTGGAGCCTGTTGCTGGCAGAATTCTTTCTTGCCCAGGGAAGGTCAACCTTTTCCCTTTTCAAGCCTTCAGTGGATTGGATGAGGACCACCTACATTAAACAAGACAATCTACTTCACGGAAAGTACACCAACTTAAATCTTAATCACATCCAATAAGACACCCTTACATAAATACCGAGAATCATGTTTGACCAAGTATCTGCTCCACTGCAAAGCAGCCAAGTTGACACATAAAATTAACCATCACACTGGACCTTCAGTTTTACTAAGAAATCTTCTAAGTCTCTGTATTTCAGTCTTGTTCCAGTTCTTTAGAAGGACTTCAACAATATCCTAGTTCTATCATATTCTATATCATGTTTTTAATAGATTAAATGCTTGAAACTATTTTTTTTTTTTGGAAGACAGAGTCTCACTCTTTTACCCAGGCTGGAGTACAGTGATGTGATCTCAGCCAACTCCAACCTCTGCCTCTCAGGTTTAAGCGATTTTCATGCCTCAGCCTCCCAAGTAGCTGGGACTACAGGCATATGCAACCACGCCCAGCTAATTTTTTAAACTTTTAGCAGTAACAGGGTTTTACCATGTTGTGAGGCTGATATCAAACTCCCAATCTCAGGTGAGCCATCCACCTTAGCCTCTCAAACTGCTGGGATTACAGGTTTGAGCCTCCACACCCAGCCTTGCTTCTGAAACTTTTGATGCATCTTACGTCTATGTGTAAAAGTAATCTGATAGTAGTTTTGCTTTGATTTATTTTGATAAACTTCTATAATTATGTAATTGGTATTACTATAATTTGAGTATGTCCTCCAAAAGTTCATGTTGAAACTGAATCCTCAATATAACACTATTAAAACGTGGGGTCTTTAAGAGGTGCTGGGGTTTTTAGGGCTCTTTGCCCCTGAATGGATTAACCCATTCAGGAATTAACATGTTAGTAGATTGTCACAAGAGTGAGTCTGCTGTGCGTCTGTTGTAAAAGCCAGTTTCTCTCAGTGTGTCCCGACTCACCATATGATGCCCTGTACCACTGAGGACTGCAGAGATTCCTTATCAGCAAGAAGGCCCTCACCAGATGCAGCCTCTAAACCTCAGACTTACCAGCCTTCAGAGTTGTAAGAAAAAAGTGTATTTTCTTTATAAGTTACCCAGTCTTAGGTATTCAGTTATGAAAAAAAACAAATATATATATATATATATATGACAGGTACCATCTTAGGATCAAGGAAATATGGCAATATTGGTTAATATCCAGTCATTGCTGCCATTGTGTTAGGCATCACACCAATTCCTTTCCCTACTACACATGAGGTAGGAAAGAGACAATTATCTAGATTTGAGAGGTGAAGAAATGGAGGCCTGGTACATGGAAATCCATCCTTTAGTCTTTGGTACACCTGATGTTGCATAAGAAACAATAGTAAACAGAAAATG